TCCCTAAGATTTCGGAATTTTCTTTTTTAAATCTGCCTTTTTTTCTTTCAATTCAAAAAAAGAAATCTCTGAATTCTGACTTTTTTCTCAACATTCAAACACATTTCTCTGGATTGATTAAACCATTATTTCAGGGTTTAATTTATTTACCAATATTCTTTTAGTTTTTGTCTGAATTTGTACTTTATTTTCTGAATTCTGTTTAAAGTGTGACGCATGATGTCTAACTCAACACCATATATGGTATTCTGTCTGTGCAGGCACGAGTTCTTAAACCAGGAAATGACCCATCATTTCATCACTTCCTGTGAACAACGGTTTTCTGAATGTGTTTGTGATTTTTATCCTGAAATAAGGTCTGAGGTTAACACGAGCTGAAGAGATTTTAACATTTTGTTCTAGGACATAAAGTGCGTCATCAACCACTGTTTACAGAGAGAGAGCTATAGAAAGTATTTTTGACATAGTATCAAAGTACTAAAGCAAGTTACAATAAACAAGTATTAATATACAATACACAAGTTAAAAAAGACAAATTCAGTGCACTCCATGGCGTTAGAAGAGATCCCAGTTCTGGTTTTCCTTAACGACTAGTCCAACCTTGAGATTTCTTTAAATCAGATTGTGGTTCTAACAGAAGTATTCAGTGTGTTTGAGATTTGTAGGAAACTCACCAGAGATTCTGCTGTTTGTTGAGAAAAACCTGAGATCGTTGATTCTTCTTCAGAGAGAAACAGAGAGACACAGAGAGACACGGAGAGACACAGAGAGACACGGAGCAACGTGTCTCGACTCAGAGAGTTTCACTTTCACTTACAAGGGGCTGTATTCAGCTTTGTGTGGTTTTCCCTTTCCTGTAGTGTGTTCTATGGTTTGTGTGCAGTGTGGCTGCAGTACTGGGTTTGGACACATGGGGCAGTGCAGCTGTAGAGGACACACACACACACACACACACACACACACACACACACACACACACACACACACACACACACACACACACTCACACACACACTATTAGTATTAATGAGAAATAATTCATCATCATTGTATTGTTACTCTTCTGATGTTGTTTTTCTTCTTCTGGTTAAATTCAGATCTTGTACTTGAGTAAAAGTAGAAGTACTCAGATCTTGTACTTGAGTAAAAGTAGAAGTACTCAGATCTTGTACTTGAGTAAAAGTAGAAGTACTCAGATCTTGTACTTGAGTAAAAGTAGAAGTACTCTGATCTTGTACTTGAGTAAAAGTAGAAGTACTCAGATCTTGTACTTGAGTAAAAGTAGAAGTACTCAGATCTTGTACTTGAGTAAAAGTAGAAGTACTCAGATCTTGTACTTGAGTAAAAGTAGAAGTACTCAGATCTTGTACTTGAGTAAAAGTAGAAGTACCAGAGTGTAGGAATACTCTGTTACAGTAAAAGTCCTGCATTCAAAATGTTCCTCGAGTGAAAGCACAGCCTTGAACTCATGATAAAAGTAGAAGTACTCAGAACTAAACTATTTGCAGTAGATTTCCGTATTTCTGTGGAGTTTCTGCATCTATTCTTCTGTCTCTGTGTTCCTCTCCTCTATTCTTCTGTCTCTGTGTTCCTCTCCTCTATTCTTCTGTCTTTGTGTTCCTCTCATCTATTCTTCTGTCTTTGTTTCCTCTCCTCTATTCTTCTGTCTTTGTGTTCCTCTCCTCTATTCTTCTGTCTCTGTGTTCCTCTCATCTATTCTTCTGTCTCTGTGTTCCTCTCATCTATTCTTCTGTCTCTGTGTTCCTCTCATCTATTCTTCTGTCTTTGTGTTCCTCTCATCTATTCTTCTGTCTTTGTTTCCTCTCCTCTATTCTTCTGTCTTTGTGTTCCTCTCCTCTATTCTTCTGTCTCTGTGTTCCTCTCCTCTATTCTTCTGTCTCTGTGTTCCTCTCCTCTATTCTTCTGTCTTTGTGTTCCTCTCATCTATTCTTCTGTCTTTGTTTCCTCTCCTCTATTCTTCTGTCTTTGTGTTCCTCTCCTCTATTCTTCTGTCTCTGTGTTCCTCTCATCTATTCTTCTGTCTCTGTGTTCCTCTCCTCTATTCTTCTGTCTTTGTGTTCCTCTCCTCTATTCTTCTGTCTCTGTGTTCCTCTCATCTATTATTCTGTCTTTGTGTTCCTCTCATCTATTCTTCTGTCTCTGTGTTCCTCTCATCTATTCTTCTGTCTTTGTGTTCCTCCTCTCATCTATTCTTCTGTCTTTGTGTTCCTCTCCTCTATTCTTCTGTCTTTGTGTTCCTCCTCTATTCTTCTGTCTTTGTGTTCCTCCTCTCCTCTATTCTTCTGTCTTTGTGTTCCTCTCCTCTATTCTTCTGTCTTTGTGTTCCTCTCCTCTATTCTTCTGTCTTTGTGTTCCTCTCCTCTATTCTTCTGTCTTTGTGTTCCTCCTCTCATCTATTCTTCTGTCTTTGTGTTCCTCTCCTCTATTCTTCTGTCTCTGTGTTCCTCTCCTCTATTCTTCTGTCTCTGTGTTCCTCTCCTCTATTCTTCTGTCTTTGTGTTCCTCTCCTCTATTCTTCTGTCTTTGTGTTCCTCTCCTCTATTCTTCTGTCTTTGTGTTCCTCTCCTCTATTCTTCTGTCTTTGTGTTCCTCTCCTCTATTCTTCTGTCTCTGTGTTCCTCTCCTCTATTCTTCTGTCTCTGTGTTCCTCTCCTCTATTCTTCAGTCTTTGTGTTCCTCCTCTCCTCTATTCTTCTGTCTCTGTGTTCCTTTCATCTATTCTTCTGTCTCTGTGTTCCTCTCCTCTATTCTTCTGTCTCTGTGTTCCTTTCATCTATTCTTCTGTCTCTGTGTTCCTCTCATCTATTCTTCTGTCTCTGTGTTCCTCTCCTCTATTCTTCTGTCTCTGTGTTCCTCTCCTCTATTCTTCTGTCTCTGTGTTCCTCTCATCTATTCTTCTGTCTCTGTGTTCCTTTCATCTATTCTTCTGTCTCTGTGTTCCTCTCCTCTATTCTTCAGTCTTTGTGTTCCTCTCCTCTATTCTTCTGTCTTTGTGTTCCTCTCCTCTATTCTTCAGTCTCTGTGTTCCTCTCCTCTATTCTTCAGTCTTTGTGTTCCTCTCCTCTATTCTTCTGTCTCTGTGTTCCTCTCATCTATTCTTCTGTCTCTGTGTTCCTCTCATCTATTCTTCTGTCTCTGTGTTCCTTTCATCTATTCTTCTGTCTCTGTGTTCCTCTCCTCTATTCTTCAGTCTTTGTGTTCCTCTCCTCTATTCTTCTGTCTCTGTGTTCCTCTCCTCTATTCTTCTGTCTCTGTGTTCCTCTCCTCTATTCTTCAGTCTTTGTGTTCCTCCTCTCCTCTATTCTTCTGTCTCTGTGTTCCTTTCATCTATTCTTCTGTCTCTGTGTTCCTCTCCTCTATTCTTCTGTCTCTGTGTTCCTTTCATCTATTCTTCTGTCTCTGTGTTCCTCTCATCTATTCTTCTGTCTCTGTGTTCCTCTCCTCTATTCTTCTGTCTCTGTGTTCCTCTCCTCTATTCTTCTGTCTCTGTGTTCCTCTCCTCTATTCTTCTGTCTCTGTGTTCCTTTCATCTATTCTTCTGTCTCTGTGTTCCTCTCATCTATTCTTCTGTCTCTGTGTTCCTCTCATCTATTCTTCTGTCTCTGTGTTCCTCTCATCTATTCTTCTGTCTCTGTGTTCCTCTCCTCTATTCTTCTGTCTCTGTGTTCCTCTCATCTATTCTTCTGTCTCTGTGTTCCTCTCATCTATTCTTCTGTCTCTGTGTTCCTCTCATCTATTCTTCTGTCTCTGTGTTCCTTTCATCTATTCTTCTGTCTCTGTGTTCCTTTCATCTATTCTTCTGTCTCTGTGTTCCTCTCATCTATTCTTCTGTCTCTGTGTTCCTCTCATCTATTCTTCTGTCTCTGTGTTCCTCTCCTCTATTCTTCTGTCTCTGTGTTCCTCTCATCTATTCTTCTGTCTCTGTGTTCCTCTCATCTATTCTTCTGTTTCTGTGTTCCTCCTCTCATCTATTCTTCTGTCTCTGTGTTCCTCTCATCTATTCTTCTGTCTCTGTGTTCCTCTCCTCTATTCTTCTGTCTCTGTGTTCCTCTCATCTATTCTTCTGTTTCTGTGTTCCTCTCATCTATTCTTCTGTCTGTGTTCCTCTCATCTATTCTTCTGTTTCTGTGTTCCTCTCATCTATTCTTCTGTTTCTGTGTTCCTCTCCTCTATTCTTCTGTCTTTGTGTTCCTCTCATCTATTCTTCTGTCTCTGTGTTCCTCTCATCTATTCTTCTGTCTCTGTGTTCCTCTCCTCTATTCTTCTGTCTCTGTGTTCCTCTCATCTATTCTTCTGTTTCTGTGTTCCTCTCATCTATTCTTCTGTTTCTGTGTTCCTCCTCTCATCTATTCTTCTGTCTCTGTGTTCCTCTCCTCTATTCTTCTGTCTTTGTGTTCCTCTCATCTATTCTTCTGTCTTTTGTGTGTTTGTTTCTCTTTTGGTCATGTTGTTGTTTGCGTCTCCTTTTAGTCCTTTATGCATCAACTTTGTCTTGTTGGGTCTCATTGTTGTTGCTCATTTTATTTTTCATTGTGTTCGTTTAAAGTCTGTTTTCCGTCAGTTTGCATCTTAGTATTGAGGTTTGTGTTTATTTCAGTTATTTGGGATTTTATTGTAGTCGTGTGAGGTCTCTCTTTGAGTCGTTTGAAGTCGATATCTAAATAGTTTTACACCTCATGTTGTTGTTGGTTTTGTTTGTGTCTCCTTGTTGTTTTGCATTGATTGTATTTGTGTATGTTTTCTGTAGAGTTTCTGCATCCAGTTTTCTTGAGTGTGTGAGAGAATTAGAACTGAGGGATTTGAGCCTCTGCAGACCGTTGACATGCACTGCAACCTACAGAACTCACTACAGGAGAGCACGATAGGGCCTCTTTAACCCTCTGTGTCCTTTCTGCTGACGTGTCGGCACAGGTGAGAACACTTGAGCAGATTGTTCACATTTCTCTGGAGTTTCCTCAGCCCCCAGTTTCTCCTCAGCTTTATGGATTATTTGGGTAAATGCTGACGATGGTTTGCGGCCTGACTTCTCTCCTGATGAGGGTCTGAAGCCTGCAGGGGGTCTGACTTCTCTCCTGATGAGGGTCTGAAGCCTGCATGCGGCCTGACTTCTCTCCTGATGAGGGTCTGAAGCCTGCAGGGGGTCTGACTTCTCTCCTGATGAGGGTCTGAAGCCTGCATGCGGCCTGACTTCTCTCCTGATGAGGGTCTGAAGCCTGCATGCGGCCTGACTTCTCTCCTGATGAGGGTCTGAAGCCTGCATGCGGCCTGACTTCTCTCCTGATGAGGGTCTGAAGCCTGCAGGGGGCCTGACTTCTCTCCTGATGAGGGTCTGAAGCCTGCAGGGGGTCTGACTTCTCTCCTGATGAGGGTCTGAAGCCTGCAGGGGGTCTGACTTCTCTCCTGATGAGGGTCTGAAGCCTGCATGCGGCCTGACTTCTCTCCTGATGAGGGTCTGAAGCCTGCAGGGGGCCTGACTTCTCTCCTGATGAGGGTCTGAAGCCTGCAGGGGGTCTGACTTCTCTCCTGATGAGGGTCTGAAGCCTGCAGGGGGTCTGACTTCTCTCCTGATGAGGGTCTGAAGCCTGCATGCGGCCTGACTTCTCTCCTGATGAGGGTCTGAAGCCTGCATGCGGCCTGACTTCTCTCCTGATGAGGGTCTGAAGCCTGCATGCGGCCTGACTTCTCTCCTGATGAGGGTCTGAAGCCTGCAGGGGGCCTGACTTCTCTCCTGATGAGGGTCTGAAGCCTGCAGGGGGTCTGACTTCTCTCCTGATGAGGGTCTGAAGCCTGCAGGGGGTCTGACTTCTCTCCTGATGAGGGTCTGAAGCCTGCATGCGGCCTGACTTCTCTCCTGATGAGGGTCTGAAGCCTGCAGGGGGTCTGACTTCTCTCCTGATGAGGGTCTGAAGCCTGCAGGGGGTCTGACTTCTCTCCTGATGAGGGTCTGAAGCCTGCATGCGGCCTGACTTCTCTCCTGATGAGGGTCTGAAGCCTGCAGGGGGTCTGACTTCTCTCCTGATGAGGGTCTGAAGCCTGCATGCGGCCTGACTTCTCTCCTGATGAGGGTCTGAAGCCTGCATGCGGCCTGACTTCTCTCCTGATGAGGGTCTGAAGCCTGCACGGGGTCTGACTTCTCTCCTGATGAGGGTCTGAAGCCTGCAGGGGGTCTGACTTCTCTCCTGATGAGGGTCTGAAGCCTGCAGGGGGTCTGACTTCTCTCCTGATGAGGGTCTGAAGCCTGCAGGGGGTCTGACTTCTCTCCTGATGAGGGTCTGAAGCCTGCAGGGGGTCTGACTTCTCTCCTGATGAGGGTCTGAAGCCTGCATGCGGCCTGACTTCTCTCCTGATGAGGGTCTGAAGCCTGCAGGGGGTCTGACTTCTCTCTTGATGAGGGTCTGAAGCCTGCATGCGGCCTGACTTCTCTCCTGATGAGGGTCTGAAGCCTGCATGCGGCCTGACTTCTCTCCTGATGAGGGTCTGAAGCCTGCAGGGGGTCTGACTTCTCTCCTGATGAGGGTCTGAAGCCTGCAGGGGGTCTGACTTCTCTCCTGATGAGGGTCTGAAGCCTGCAGGGGGTCTGACTTCTCTCCTGATGAGGGTCTGAAGCCTGCAGGGGGTCTCAAACACGCTTCATGAGGACATCCTGGCTCAGTTTGCTGCGTTTAAAACCTTGGAGAACGAGTTATCTTCAGTTTCTAATTATCAGGCGAGCCGTCGTTCTTCTGCTGATTTTTTAAAGACTCCTTCTTTTTTTTAATTAAAGACCTCAGAATTTGTCTGTTTTTAGAGAATGAATGAAAAGCAGTGATTTCAGGTGAAAGGGGAAAGACACATGAACACCATCTTTAAATGTTGAATTGTTTCTGTGCTTTCCTATTTGGTATTTACTTCTTTGAAATGTCTCATCATTCTTGCATTTGCTTTTTTTGTTGCAAGTCAGGTGGTTGAATTCCCAGCATGCACCACTTGAGGGTGCTACTCAACTCTAATGCAGATACAATAATATAAATTATAAAAGGTCTAGAAGGAGGAGGGGGGAGGTCCAGAGGTCCAGAGGTCCAGAGGGAGGGAGGAGGGGGGAGGTCCAGAGGGAGGGGGGGTGCAGCGAAGGCCCTGTCACTCCCCAGGTCCAGAGCTTCGTCCTGATTGGCTGCAGTAGGTTAGCTTCAGCAGACCTGAGGCGACGGTTTAGTTTGGTTTCAGAAAGTTGTTTTGCCTCCATGTGTTGATGTCAGTGAGGCAGTTGGTGAGCTGGGAGTGGGTGGTTGCAGAAATAGTTTTTGTAGAGAGGGAGAGTTGGGTGTCGTCGGTGTAACAGTGGAACCGGAGTTGGTGTACATTATATTATATAATATTAAAGGTGGGGTAGGTACGTTTGAGAAACCGGCTCGAGATACACTTGTTGTTATATTCCATGGAATGCTCTTAACATCCCGATAGCAATGAATATCTGAAGTGCTTTGACAAAAAATCCATAAAAAATATCATCTGTGGAAGCTGTAGTACTGTAAAAAGCACGACCAATCATCTGAGCCGGCCCGGCTAAAATAACTGGATGGCCTACCTGCCTGTCAGCCTTCCATCTGTGCACAAACTTATCTTGTGCCCTCATTGGTCATGTGCGCGTTCGTGTGTGTTGGAGGAGGGGCTCTGTGAGGAAGTGGCAGATTTTCTCCGGTTGTGTATTTTCAAATTCTAGCGCACTCGAGCTGGTTTCTCCAAAATTACCTACCCCACCTTTAAAGACAGTTTAATATTACATATTATTCCTTTAAAGGTCCCCTGTCATGCAGAATGCACTCTCTGATGTCTTCTCTACATCACCATGTGTCCCCGGTGTGTCGCCGGTGTGTCCCCGGTGTGTCCCCGGTGTGTCAGGAGACTCACAAAGAGTCAGGAAACAAACCCCTCTCTCTTTTCCTCCGTACCCACATCTCTAAAAACGGGGGACCAACGGAGCTGATCCAGATTTGCTGCGTCATGACCACATTACTAAAATGTGGGCGGTTTTTACACCCACGGGCCAATCAGAAACGTTGCTGTCAGAAACAATGAGACGTGTTCTGGAAGTAATATGGTCTGTGTTGACATTAGCATGCTAACACTCAGAGCTAACCTGTACTGGAGAGAGCATGTGTGAAGAAGCAGGAAATCAAAAGGAACTCACCTTGTGGTAAACCTGAGAGAGAGAAAGAGTTTGAGCTCCATACTGTTTCAGAGAGAATCCTTGATGTGGTTTGGAACATGATCAGAGGCCTGTACTACGAAGCTGGATTTTGGCTTAGCGGCTAACTTCAGGGAAATCTCGGGCTTTCCGGTCCTACGACGCTGGTTCTCTTTTTAGCAGGCTAGATCTCCATGGTAACTTATGCTGAGCGGCAAACCTGCTCCGGAGCAGGTTAGGTGGCAGGCTAAGAGATCAACTCAGTGAAAGCACCGCCTGCTGACCAATCAGAGCTCTGTGTGTGCGGAGTTTAAAGCGATCAAGTCATATTACAGGATAGAGGAAATACAGTTTAAACTGCAGTTGCAGGAAAGACGGCCAGCCAAAATCAACTGACTGTGTGAACGAGAACATTAATAGAATATCCCCTCCCATCTTCAGAGCAATCTGACTATTATAACATTAGCGTTAAGAAAGCTTACTTAAATATCTGCCACAACATAAGTAACCGGATCAGAGTAACATTACGTACAGTCCGCGGCACTGTGAGTGCAGACGTCGATGTGTCCCATTATCATTCATATCATATCACATCATAATGTATCATATATTTCCTTATCTGAGTCAGCTGAGCCGTATCTGGCCGTGCAACACTCACAGTGTCACATACTGTATGCAGAAGTATTATTTTAAGCAACACATTAAGTTGACGAAACACTCGAGTCAAATTCTCCTAATTAAAGTCAGATCCACTCGTGTCTTGGACGGGGCAGTGATTTCATAAACCTGTTAATGTACGCATTCAAACACTTTTTCTTTTACCAGCTGTATTCACCTTGCGTTGAACACTTAAAGTGTTTAAGTCATAGATGTTTAAAGTTTAACTTCTTCATATTTGTCTAATATTAAAGTTTACTTTTCATTCAGGAAGTATGACGCTGCGCTGTCAGTACGCTTGTCCGTGTTTGTGATTGGTCGAATGCTCCAAATACCACCCCTTTCATGTGAACGCGCACCTAACTAGATAGGACACGGCGGCTTGAGCAATCCACTTGATAACCAGCGTCGTAGTACAGTTTAGCGAGAGCGCGTATGTTTTGGATTGGGCCAACCGGCTAACTCAAACATATCCAGGTTAGGTTGAACCAGCTTCGTAGTACAGGCCTCTGCACTTTTCCTTGTACATGTGATGTTTTGGTGTTGTTGTTGTTTTGTTTTTTTCTGTTAACTGTCAAGTGGGAAATAAGTATTTTTTGTGTTTCTCTTATTATCTTACGATACTGTTCTGATTGGCTGTGAAAGAGAAATATGAAGGACATTTTTTTTAGAAAGGCGCAGGTCATATCAGATGACTTTCTTCTCCCTGCTCCTTTTCGGTCCATGGTGTGTTTACAGAGACATGTTTTGTTAACAATTATTATACATTAAGTTTTGCATACCATGAACGGAACAAATACAAATGAAATATGGAGTTTAATCACGGCAGCATTTAGCTGAGTTTCTGCTGCTAGAATTCTCCTGATCAGATGCTCATAAGCTCCGCCCCTCTTTTCTTTTAAACCAGAATCATCTCTTTAGTAACAGAGGAGGGATGAGGCTAGAATGATCTGTTTGGTATTGGAGCAAAACACATCATAGACATGTTTTTTATATATTTGTATGTATCTGAGACCCTTAATATATGCCTAAAAACAGCACGATAGGAGATCTTTAAATCAGATGTATTTATTCTAATTAGTGTGTTTATGTTTTAGGACCCCTTGAAGATGAGATGCTCCATCTCAAGGGGCTACCCTTCAATACATTCTCAGATCTAAAGTGAGGGAGCGTTTACACTGCAGGGTCAGACACACTATTGGAGGTTAACATTATGTTCTGCTCATTGTAATGACTCTGCAATCAGTCTAATCATGTTCTTCTTTAGTGATTACATGGAGATTTAGTGATTCTCTGAAATCTAACTTGGAGAGGTAACATATAAAGTAACATGGAAATACTCAAGTAAAGTACAAGTACCTCTAAACTGAACTTCAGTATTTGGGTAAATGTTTTAGAGGCTTTGAAACGAGGAGATAAAGAAGGCCAGAAACATTTGAGACAAAATGACATGTATTTATTGTTAATGAATGATTTCTCCATCTGTCAGTAAATGATAATCAATACACATCAGTATCAGGTATAATGTTTTTAAAACTCAAAGAATATTAAACTAATAGTAAGAATGTTAAACTAAGCAGGAAGCTGATAACCCGGTTAAAACAACAACACAGTAAAACGATTACAATGGAAATAAATTCAAACTTTATGTGAAAAATACAAGATTTAAAAGTTATACTTTTTCCCTTCAGCTGTTGATAGATCTTCTTTAATCTCCTTATTCTCATATCTGTTGTTCTGATTAAAATAAACTTGACATTAGTCTGAGTTATTGTTTAACGTTTAGAAAGGTCTCCATCATCCAGCAGGAGCCACCGTATCATTTCAGGACACTCAGCAATACAATCCATCATTAACAAAACTCACGTAGAGTTACACATCTCAAAGGAAATAACATGAAGAGCAGAAAAAACATTTAGCAATAATCTGATATTTGTAAATGATCATAATAGAAAATAAACATCACTTTTAATAAACTTGCAGGTTTCATCTTTTCCATTGGTGGTGATGGTGTCAGGACGTTAATGATTTCTGCACAAAACAATCACACTTTCACATTTCATGCACATGGTACATGTTACTTCCTGTCAAACAGAACATGCAGATTGCTCCTGCAGGGAGATGTTTGTGCAGGAGAACAATAAAGCTTTGTAATTCATTGATTAACACTAGAGCTCTGAGTGCGGGTCTATTTGGACTTCATGTGTTGTATCAGTGACGGAAGAAGTATTCAGATGCTTTACTTTGGTTAAAGTTATAAAACCACATTGTATAGATACTGTTACAAGTAGAAGTCCTGCATTCAAAATGTCACACAGGTAAAAGTGTGTAAAAGTATAATCAAAATGAAGCTATAGTAATAAATGTAAAGGTACCCGATGCAGAAGAGTAAAGAGTAGAGTGGTGAAGTAAAGAGTCCAACATTTCACTTTGAACTGCATTCCACCTCAGCGCTGGGTGGACCGGGTTCTCTCATATTCCTACAGAACCTCTGATCCAAACAGCCTCACACGGGGCAGCACCTCCCCCTGGTCCATAGCAACACACATGCCAAACAGGAAGTAGATGGGTCCCAGGGTTGGTGAGATCATCTCAGATATAAAAACACAGACGTCTTCCAGTTTGTTGATAGATCTCCTCTTGGTCTTGCTGCCATCTGTTTGGTCTTGGTTTGGTTTTGATCCAAAGGATTTGTGATCACTGTGGACTCTGGAGGAGCTTCTCTCGGCTGCTCCTTCAGCATTTCTTCAAGACCAACCATCTTGCTTTGAAAAATGTTATCTTTCAAACGATAACTTTGTAAGAATAGAATAAAAAAAAGACATGTCCGATGAACATTTGTGTCATGGTCACTTGGTTGTGTTGGCCATCAAGGACTCTTGATCAGTATCACTCACTATCCTGTCTTGTTTAATTGTGTATTTACACGTCTCTTCTTTGATATCATGTTCAGCTCTTGTCTTGGTCTCAGTTGGAGCTGGTCTTGATGTTGCCCTCAGTTAAAGATTCTTCACTTTAAAGCAGGTTTTCTCCTCTCCTTGTTTTACCCATGAGCTCTTCTTGTCCCCTAATGTTCATCAGGAGCTCAACTCGTTGCTTCCAGCCTGACTTGCCGTCAGATTTCTCTCCCTCAATCAGCAGGTCAATGTACTCTGGAGTGGAGAGAGGATTTGGCTTCAGTGAGATCTCTCCTAGTCTGTTCTGACACTTAGCAGACCTCTTCATTATCTCCCTCTCTCCAGTCTGAAGACGCTGATATTCAGACTTCATTCTGTCGATCAATTGCTCAACAGTTCCCTTAGCCTTTGAGGCTTTCAGGTACTTTTGTTTCAGATCATCCAATGTTTGCCTTTCTTTAACCTGCTTATACTCCCATCTGTACCTCTGGTTAACATGTTGACTCCAATGACATTTGCCTGGACACTGTTTACATTTTCCAAAAAGTCCCATTACAGAACACATCATTTTACCTGCATCACTGGCACATTTACATGGCCAGTGACAGGTGACATTACACACCTGACAGTTGGTGCTGAACTCTCCAGACCCTGATATATCTACTTTAAAAGGCTTCATGAAGACTACTTCAATCTCAAATTTCTCATTTCTGTTGATCTCTGCTTCATGCAGTTTAAGTTGTTCAGAGGTCTCTTTAATCTCCTCAAGCTTGGCTAACTCAGCTTTAACCTGCTTCTTTAAATGTTCCATTGAGATCTGGAGCTGCTGTCTTTCTCTGAGGACTTCCTTTGGCATCATCAAGCTTTTGGTTGTTAGCTCATCAGTAGCAACAAAGAACCTCTTCATGCTTTTTTCCCCCATTTGCCAGAACATCTGAGCAAAGCCTCCATCTTCCTCCTTTCCACTGGAGTCAGCAGCAGATGATTGGTTCTGTGCAAACAAGGCAGAATTATTGAATTTGAAGTGAACTGGCAGCCCGTCTTCTGCTTTAGGACATGGGACACCTGAAGCTTTGATCGCCTCTAGAACTGGTGGGCGTTGGCCGTCTGCGAATGTCACCAGAACCTGGATGTTTTCTGCCACATCTTTGCCAAAGATTGAGAGCACAGAATCAAACACATCCTTCTGTGTTGGTGTGAGCCGAGCTGAAGAAGCTGGAACTACAAAACACACAGCGTCAATTTCACTGACGCCACGCTCTGAATAGAAGAGATTAAGAATCTGTTCTGTGATCTCCTCATCTCTTTTTATCCCTCTTGTATCTCCAAAACCTGGAGTATCAACAATGGTCAGAGAGTAATTGATTTTAAAGCCCTCTTGGTGGTTGATGTTGTACACAGTGACTTCAGAGGTCTGGCTCTCAGCTTGAGATCTCGACTGATCCTCATCAACTAACTTGAATCTGAAATGGTCCTTCCACTCTACACCAACAATGTAGTTGATGAGTCCATTGATCAGAGTGGACTTTCCAGATCCAGTTGCTCCAAAAAGCATTATTGTGCGATTTTGCCTCGTGCTTTCTTTGCCAAAGTTGTACCTCCGACATCCATCAACTTCCATGTCTTCTTCTGTCAGAGGCAGTTTGTAAACTGAGGGAGATTCAGAGTTGATCCTTTTGCTTTCACTTTTGAGGAATTCTGTGAGAAGTGCACGTTTAGTTGTGCGGACATTAACAGCGATGCTTTCTTTGCTTCTTCCAGCTGCACCACAATCACACCTGACCCTGACAGCGTATTCTGTCTCTGGCTGAAGTCCTGAAATGATCGCCTTCTCAGCTCCAGCCATCATTTGCTCCCAGTGGAGATCTTCCTCTTTCACCTGTTGGTCTGGTTCGGCGTACTCCACGATGTAGCTCAAAACGTGGACATCTTGTCCGAGCTCAGCAGGTTTCTCCCAGCTGACTGATATCTCACCTGAGGTAGATTCAACGTGGAGTTTTCCAGGAGGGCTGCAGGGTAAGGTTTGAATGGATCCACTGACTTCATTGGCTGGCCCGGCACCTACTGGTGTCGCTGCCCTGCATCTGAACATGTACTCTGTGTTAGGACTCAGGCCGCTCACTGTGACTTCTTCAGCTTTGGATGCTGTCTTTTGTTTCCAGCCGTCCTCTCCTCTGACACCGTACTCAACAGAGTAGGAGGTGATGTCCTCTGCTCCAGATGTGGGTGGAGAAATGTTCAGCGTCACACTGTTGTGGTTTATATCACTTCCTGTTACTGTTGCAGGCTTTGAAGGCGGCTCAAAGTTCTCATTGTCAGAAAGGCCGTCTGTATAAAGGTAGATGCTGGCACCTTTCTGTGTCTCGTTTGTTAAACCCACCGTCAGGAATGTGATGTTCTTGTTCTCCTTGTTGGCCTCTGCAAAATCACTGAAGAGCTTTGCTTTATGCCGCATTGCTTCCATTTCTTTTCTTGAGTTGTACCATTGATCTGGAGGGGGGGGATCTTGAGCATCGTCTGGTTTGGGTGTTTGTTGAAGGTAGTTTGATAAAGTTGAGAGGTACGGTTCATCACTTCCCAGCGAGGTGAAGACAAAACACACAGCATGCTCTGCATTGAAGCTTTCTTTGTACAGGTCTGTTTGAGATGAGATGATCTTGGTGTTTGTCATCATGTTGGTCAGAGACATCACGGTGTATATTTCTCTCTCCTTACAGTCCATCCACTCGTTCAGGTCCTTGCTGTTGAAAGGAGAAGAACATGTCTTCCTCAGTTCCTCTGCGAGCACAGCTTCTTCTTCTCCTCCTCCTCGGATTGATGGAAGTTTCTTTGCCAGGGTTTGTTGGAATTCCAGTTTGAACTGAGAGCACTTCTGTTTAAAGGTTTTGAGTTTTTTTCCAATCTGTGGGAACTGCTGTGCAGTTTGAGTTCTCAGTGCATCATTGAACCTCATTTCCAGGTCACTGAAGTCCTCCAGGACACTCTGACATTCTTCAACTAATCCTATACTTATCTGACGGACAAGTTTAGCGGCAGTAGAATCTAAACATGTCAGAGGTAACAGCCAGACCTTCACTGGTACTGCGTTTTCCCCGTTGGCTCCCAGCAGCTTTGGCAGACTTTGGTACACCTCTACTGCCTCCTGAAAGGATGTAGGAGGTTTCTGAATCAAAAAGTCTCCAAAGAATCTGCAGGACAGTTTCTCAACATTTGTTTTGTGCTTGTCTTCCATTTTCAGCGAGCCTTCGCCCTCTATTGAAAGGGAGCTAATTTTCTTGATCATCACCTTCAAGTTGCCCTGAATGTCTTGATGGTTCTCGTTGACAGACACCTCACGGTCAAAGACAAAGAAGGCGTGTGCCCCATAAAGGATACCTGTGACTACATGTGTTGCTATTTCTTGATCAAAGACATATGGATGCTTAACATTGCCTCTTCCAAGATGATTCATGGACAGTTCTTGGACCTTTGTGGTAGCTTGGTACTTCAGTGTTACTCTGGTCTGATTTTTGGAAGTCTTACTATCGTTCAGGTATTTGGCTGATCCACCAACCTCTACCAGTCCACTCAAGAAACTAGCCTTCAGTGATGCTTTAACATTAAGTGCTGAAGATTTATCCTCAATTGTTTCAGATGCAACTATATCAAAATCATTATAGCTCTGTGGTCGTTCTCCAATATGATTTTTAAGGTCATCACGGTCCCACAAAGTGATTCCTGCAAAAGAAGAACAAACATCAAGCTAGAACCAAATGTAATGTTAATACACACTATAACTTTAAGGGGACTCAAAGCATCGTCCTTCCAATAATTGCAGCTTTCCTGTTGTTAGGAACTGAAATATAGAATGATTTGTTCAGTGATGCGCTTCCTGAGAACATTTATGATAATAGAGAAAGCATAAAGACACAAATCAGTTTAATGTACTTTACTATGTTCACGACTGTTACACTGCATCCTTATTGTGAACCTGACAGAGTGTTGCAGACCGAAGACAAGCGTGTCCGGTTGAGCCAAACCATAAAAAACGTTATACGACAGGCACTATGATACAGGGTTATTTTTGGGTTATTTATACGGTAGTTTTAGGAAACAGAGTTTTTTTATTCTGTGATCTCTGAACACCTTCGGTTGATGCTGTCATCTGGCTGTCCTGAGTTTATTCCAATAAACAATAAAAGTCAAATAACTTCCAGTTCAGCGGTAACAGTGACAGATAACAGCATTTAGTAGCTTACACATTGTAAACATTTTGTGATTGCCATGGCATGTTAAACTAAAAGTATTCAACCAAAGTCACTGTGTATAGTTTGGCTAGCGCTGCTCTCAAACAAAGGATAATGACAGCACTACTTTCTCCAGCATCCATCACCGGCCAAAATAACCCTGATGAGAAAGCTTTCCTGCAGGTAGTGAAAGCCAAGATGGACACTTCACGTCACACCTGGCGTCTACTAGAGTGCTGGTCTCCATGCTTAAATCAAACAAGACCTGGAGGTCATCCAACAGGGCACCTAAGCGGACATTATTTATATCAAAACGTCATAGCTGAATTCTGTCCTTTAGCTCATGCGTTGGTGGATTCTCAGTTGAATATTTGAAGATATTTGGTGCGAAGTTGTTGCCAGACTTCGTCTATGTTTTTGGTAAGTCTTTTGTTGAAGGCCTCCTTTCATTGTTAAGATATTGGCTCATCTCCTGGAATAAAGGCTACCTTCCATTGTTTCCCCACACCACACTTTATATTTAAAAAAACTCTCTACTCTAATTTCAGATCCCAATCCATCAAGACTCGTTATATTTCAAGTTGCACTTTACTGACAGTATATACAAAATGTGAACGGTTTTGGAAATTGATAGAGGGAGTTTAAGGCCTAATATAGTTCATCAATATGGGTGTCACCAACCCAGTCTCACATCTAAACGTGTAATAACTACGTTGGTCCACAACTTGGGACGTAGTATTTCTACAAAAACGCCTCTGAAATTGTAGGATCCCTACGTTTTTTTTCACCATTAATTTCCGATGGCTGCCGTCTATGTCACGTGATCTTCAACTTTCTCTCCGCAGAAATAAAAAAACATGGCCGACCTTCGTTTTATTCTCGGTAGAAAATGCCTATTTTAAGGTTAGTTTGGTCATTAAAATGCGTTTTCATGTCATTTGATGCGAGAAATATGAGTTGTTATTTCAGATTATGTGTGCAGTGGATGTACATGATCTTTAGTTTGCTAGTTATTACGAAGAATACTTCATGAAATTGTGTAAATACAACGTTTTCATTGTTACCAAGGTGGTTGCTAGGGACGCTGCTATCGATATTATGTCTGTTATGTTGTGTAACTGTTTAATGGTGTTATCTTTATTGCTACCCCCTTCCCCGTCAATTTATAGTAAACAGTGTCTCGGGCTTTGGCTATAGGGCGGCTCAAAGTATTTTGTCCGGCCGTTGTGAAGACTGGTTTGTTTATTGTCCTTGTTTTTGTTTTAAATAAAGCATATTCAATCAAGACATGCCAAACATGTGACGTCATATGACGCGTCGCATCTGCGCACAGGGAGCAGGGAGACCTCTTATTATTCATCCATGAGGGAGACCCCGAGATCCGTATTCTATGAGGTGTGATTTTTGCCAAAGAACAGATAACTAAGCTAACTGAGCGGAGAACTGACGTGTCAACATGCGCCAATGCCTCCATCAATTTTGAATGGGTTGACCAGTGGCGTCGCCTGGCCTGGGCATGCAATGAAGGCTCGATAATCAGCTCACGGCATATAGGCAGGGGTAAAGTGGTATTTTGTATGAGTGGGGGGCGGACCTCACCTCCTCTAGCCCCCCCACTCATAAAAAATACCACTTTACCCCTGCCTATATGCCGTGAGCTGATTATCGAGCCTTCATTGTAACAGTCGCGGGTGTATTGTGTGTGTGCGTGTGGGGAGTGTTGCAGTAAAAAATGCCACTGTAGTGCCGCTGTAAGTACCATATGTGTTCGGCCTACCAGATGTGTTCGGGGTCCGTTACGCTTACCAATGACGCATTGGCTGTACGGTAACCCAAGAGGACATTTTACACGGTCAAATTCCGAATGTATTGAAACTCCAGACTCAACGTAAGAGCTTGAGCCTCTTCGGGGGGTGCTAACATTTAAACATACACTTCATTCTTTACTTTGTCCGTTATTATATGTCGAAGATATTACTTTTTTCTCCGTCATGTTGTTTCCATAGCAACAACTTCAAAATAAATAAATCTAAATAGATGTGTGTTCTAGACGAAGGTACGTTTTAACCGTTTGTTTTTTAGTTCTAATTGAAAAAAAAAATAAAACGTTTTTTTGTTTTTCAATTTTGCCCCAAAACGGAAAAACGGCAATTCAGCTCGTTTTTCCGTTTTTCTGTTCTTACTGTTAAAACATGTATACCACTCAATGTTTCGTTTCCATAGGTGGGTGTGTCGCCAGTGCCTCCTTGCTTCTGATTGGCTAGTTTGCCCTATGCTTGCGCTGAACTCTTCAAAATAAAGGTTCTAACTCTTTGCCTTTACACTGTGCAGAAATGACAAGCGATAACATTATTTTTGGCCATACATTTTTCATAAGACTGATGAAGTTGGAATCAGTTGTAGTTACAAGTAACTATCCCAAATACTATGAAATACTTTTACTGTGTAGTTCTTGATACTCTCCTGTCAAAGTCCCCTTCATAACTCTCGGGATTGGAAACAAGCGAGCTTTGCATTCTAGATCACAGCGCTAGCTCGTCCTCCTTACCAGCAACCAAACGCAAAGGTACACACACTGTAACTTTGTCTTGAAAGAACGTTACGCATCGAACTGATGTTCACAATCATGTTTATTTCATAATATTCATCATATTTTATGTTTAACTTGCCTCAACAACATTAAACAAAGTTCAAGCATACATGAAGCACTCTTCAAAAAGGAACAATCCTCCGTGTTTGAACCTCTTGAATCGCTGCATAGCCGATTTATTTGGACTGGATTATCCCAGAGAGGCCAAACATTCTTTATAACACAGTTTCAGATTTGTGAAACCTTAATTCTATTTGTGAAAATACAAAAAAGGGAGATTTCAGTGCTTTTTTACATGTAGACCACATTAGACCAGGTCCTGATCTAAAACCACTATACCTAGACTCATCAAATCTGGACTGGATTATCCCAGAGAGTCAAAAGATTCTTTATAACACAGTTTCAGATTTGTGAAACCTTAATTCTATTTGTGAAAATACAAAAAACACATTCCTAGTATGTTGTAAAACTACATGGCGACTAAGATCTTGTATATTGCTTATTTTCCCCTCTTAGGAAAGCGGACACGGGATGCGAATTTCTTTGACACCGCCCAGGCGTTGGAGGACCGGCGTGCCGTGGTGAATGAGTCGCTGCGTGGGGATCAGATGGTGCTGTTCACCAAGGCCCAGGAAACGGAGGACAAGATGCTCACCTCGATGGAGCGCCAGGCAGAAGTGTTCAAGCAGCAGATGGAGCGCCAGCAGCACCAGGATGAAGTGTGGGCGCTGCGCCATGAGGAAGCGTCGGCGCAGCGGCAGGATGAGCGACAAACTGCATTTAATAACAGTTTATTTGGTATCGTTTTTGTAAATACTGACACACGACACACAACGTTGCACTAAGGTGTGTATGCTGCTGAGAATATCCCTACACCTGGGACAGTTTATTTTATATTGTTATTACTGTTATGACTTTATTTTATATATAATGTTTACTGACATGTACAACTGACACTTTAGTTACATTTAAAATATTTCTATTTAATGTTATGTCTTGAGAGTGCAATAAAGAAAACCAACATGGCGATTAAACAGATCCTGTATCAGCCATCCTACGGTGAAACATGGCAGTCATGTGTGCTTTCCGTCGGCCAATCCTTTTCCTAAAGCTTTTGAACTGCCTTTGATGCTGAAGAAACTTTGCGATTATAGCATTCGACGTGTGGCGGCTCCGGATTTTTGTCGGACGCCTAATAGGCTCAGGCTCTGGCCGCATTAACGAAGTTACAAAGCTGTATAACATGAGCACAAACAGCACAACTCCAGTCGACTCCATCTCCATCATGTCTGAGGTCGGAAGGTAAACAACAGACAGTATACGCGGGAAGTTTTTCTTCTTCTCTTGTTTTGTAGCGGATTGCAAACAACTTTAAGGTGCTTACCGCCACCTACTGTACTTGTAATCTTCCCTCAGGGAAAAGTACTCCGGTGTGAACACGATCTGTACTAAGTGCCCTGGGGTTAAAAGCGCCAGGGCTCTTAGTGCCGGAACTAAGTACAGGAAAGTACTTGGTGTGAACGCGGCTAAGGATAGAGGGTGTAAAGCAAATGTGAAGATAAAGGAGGGTTAAGAATACATTATATCGCATTTTTTTGTTTTACAATATCTTAAAGTCTATTTTTAACACACTATTGAGTTGGCTTTTTCATTACATTTAAAATATAAATTGTACCTAAAATAATACGGAGTGAGCAGGGTATACATATTCAAACCATTATGCAATTATAGGATATTTTTAGTTCGACAGATATTTGTCCAAATTGACTACAAAATAGTACAAATGCAAAACATAAAAACAAATGTTTTTTGGTGAGTGAAGTCCAAAGCCGTATTATAGATTCTTTGATTGTGTAATTACAAGGTGAGAGAAAATAGATCCACATTGTCCTATTCAACTT